TCAGCCTTTCTTCATAGGAAAGATACTCCTTAGTGACCTTGTGCAAAACTCCAGCAAGGAGCTCCAGGTGGGTAGATGGAAAGATGCCATTTCTGGAGATGGTGCCCTCATTGCAGTGGCACAGGAGATGGCATATCTTACTCTCCTCCATGAGGTAGCTACCATGTAGGGCTAGGAAACAAGGTCCTGATGGTATGTTTGTGACAGTACCTCAGGCAAATCACAAAAAGGGCAAATGGAGTGGGTGAAAGGGCTGGTTGAAAGGTTGAAAGACAAACAGTTGTTATACTATTATGTATTACATTGTGTTAGTGTTATGTGTAATTCACATTACTAAAACAAAAAGCAATGGAATGCTTTGGTGCAGTTTTACGCCACTGGCTTATTTTTCTCACAAATGCATGAAAGTGGATTGGTTCATGAACAAACACTTGTGCTTGATGGCAAAGCTTGGAAGATGGCAAATCTTAATGTGCAGCACTTAGGGAAGGAAGACAGGATAAATAGCATTTATGTTTGAGGGACTGGCTAAGCTGCGTGTAGCAGATCTGTGATATCTAGGATCAGTACGTTTCCTAGAAGGTGGATTTGATAACAGGTGCTAAGGGTACCCCTGTGATTAATAATTCTGCCAGCTCAGATGACACCAATATCACCCCAAGCCCCGCAGTGCAATTTGGGTTTTCAGCAGGAATGTGATCAGCACAAGAGCAATGCTGGTTGTGCATGTTTTTAAAATTACTACATTTATGGAGTGATTTGAGCTGTGTGGCAAATGCTGCCCTGCACTTATCCTGAGGACAAAATTGGTTTCTTCTGCACCCTGCTCAGCGTGCAGACTCACTAGGAGGTCAGGTATAAGGAAACGAGTGCCAGAGGAGTCAAATCAGAAAACCAAGACAAAATAAAACTCTGCAGCCTCCACAACAAAGAAACCAAAAAAACCCAACCTGGTAAGTTAAAGGCATTACTGAGTGCTTCCCTCTGGACCCTACTTAATGCAACTATTTCCCACAAAGGGCAAGTAAGGTGGTGCTTCGCTGTAAGAAGAGCCCTGTTTTAAGTGCCCAAAACACACACATCATGCTACTAAATAGTGGACTGCTTGGTCCCAGCAGCTGCTCCAAACGTGAGATATAACTCTTCCGGTGCCTCCATCAGACCCATGTGAATGTGTCTCACCAAGGAGCTGGGGGATCACAAGTGGCTCTAGGTAGCTGCCATTGGGTAACTGCGCTGCACCACTCTAATGGAGAGAGCTTCCTTTCACTTTGTAATGAAACTATGAATTATCAATTGCTATTATGTTATTGGAGCTGTAAATCATTAATTATTCCCAGTTTTTAGCTACCAGTATTTTTGATGCTTTCAAGTAATACGGACATCATTTTTGGCAGCGACTTATAACATTTGTTGTTTTCATGCCACCACACCTACTACATCCAGCCAGAAGCAGTTTGTCACCAGTTTCCTTATTGGCCAGCAGTATTCCTTATGTGATTTGCATTACTGTAAATGTGAACAGATTTAAAAAGGACGATTAAAGAGGTTTGTTTGGCAAACATTCCCTTTCTCTTTACGGGTGCTCTGCAAACACAGGAAAGGAGTAAAGTGCATAAAATGTGACAGTGGAGGACTCAGCCCATCTCTTGTTTTTCTGTTTGAGTAGTGGTTCCACCTGGAAATCAGAATTAAATATGTGATATACCTGTACAACACCTCCCATCTAAGGACTTTTAAGTACTTAATTAGACTTTTCAGGCTCCTGTAAGGCTGTATGTTCCCCCCTTTCTGGGTGGCTAGGATGGAGATGGGTGAATAATTTATAGGTCTGAGACATGGCTTGTCATCTGTTTTACTTGACTGCTAGTTTATGTAGCTGGCAAGAATAAACCTCCATTCATTACTTGCTGTTGTTCCTGAGGGAAATGTTACATAATAACAGCAACAACAAAAAACCCCAAACAAACCTTAGATCCATTTTAGGTGAAAGAACAAAATGGTTAGCAATTGGAGATTCAAAACTTGTATCTAAGAGAATTTTTCTAGTTTCTTTCAAGCTTCTGGAAGTGATGTGTTTGGCTTTGAGGCAGATTTTGTTTGAGAAGTGTTAATATTTCAGTGGCTATTGAGGATACAATACAATCAGCCAGCTGATGTGCTTTGAAACCTCACTGTTTGAAGTGTGATGAAGAATTCGTCTCTCCCTGCCTTTTGTAGGATGGCTGATTGTGCTTGTAGCATTGCTTCTTCTGTTAGGTTTTTACAAAAGGGGCTGTAGGATCCCATGGGCTTTGTTTAGGTAACCTGAGATGACTACAGTCTGTGGAGCCCCGTAGAACTTCCCAGTTCTCAGTCCTGGATGCATTCACAGGCAAAAGGGCATTATTCAGTGTCTTGCCCCAGCCTGACGACCTCTGGAAGCCGTAAGTATCTCTGGGCAGCTAACATCAACAAGGAGGAGTCTCAAGTTTGGAACAGGAGACATGAAAATTGCTTGCAGTCATATCTGTCCGCCAGGGTGTTTTATGTCTAAAGGCTTGTGTGAGGCCCTTGGTTTGTAAACTATTCTTGTGCTCAAAGCCAAGAACATGGATTTTCATTTTTGTTTCTAATTATGTAGGATAAAACTGCTTTCTTGGTGTCTTTTCCTTAGTCTCACAAGATGTTTACAGGTCACTGACTTCAATGCTAACCCAACACATGAAAGAGAGAGCACAACCAGTTTAGGAACTCTTCAATATTCTCTCTACTCACATACTCTGATATTTCCTGCACAGTAATTCTTTGATGACAAAGTCAGAACATTTTCTGATTTTTAAAATCACTTTAGAGAAACTAATCTGTTTCAGCTTTTCAGGGAGTTAAACATTACAATGCAAAGGGTGTTTATCCTTGTCTGTTCACAGACATAATCCACGACTTTGTAAATCCATAGTTACTGTGATTAGTGAAACATCTACAACAAAATCCAAGCAAACAATTTTTGTCAGGAGTCTTACAAAAGTATTGAAAAATTGTAAAGGGTTTGCCTCAGTGGCTTGTAATTTGCCTGTAGTGCAGAAGTCCCTCAGTTAAAAGAATTTATCATTGTTCAAAGCTTGCATGGTTGTATATATTGAAAAGAATTCAGAATGAAATTTAAAAAATGAGTATGAGTTGACATAAATTCAGTGCTAAAATTATTGGAACATAATTCAGCATCAGGGTGTAACCTATCCAGTGACTTGGGTGCAATTACATTGCTTAAAGTCAGTAGCAAACAAGTCTGTTAAGGGCAAGAAGAGTCTCTTACAATAAAACTAATCCCAATGCTGTATAGCCATGTGTTATAACATTTGATCTTCCTGTGTATCATCTCTCTTATGAAGGGATCTTCATCTTGGATGGAATTATAAAATGCATTACCTTTCTATTTCTTCTCTCTAAAGCAGCAGTGAATCAAGCAGTCCCAGCCAGTCCCCATTACAGCAGTAGAAACGTACCTATTAAGCACAGTGAGAGCAGGACTCTCTCCTGAATAACTGTATGAGCGATCAAAAGATACGTATTATAGCAATGTACAGTTACGCTGTGAGGAATTTTGCTTTCATTCTCTTCAAAGGCTTCAGGCATCTCAGGGAAACCAAGAAAAATCATGACTAACTCTTACGAGCATGCATGAGTTTATCAAAGACCTCATCATCTGATACTGATTTCCTCTGCATGTAAATAAATGTATGAACAATTTATTTACCTCGTCTTTATAATCAAACAGTCCTGGGGTTTTTTCTGACTTACTTGGTATAGTAGGGGTAGCCTCAGTCTGTGTTTCCGCCTGGGGCCCATAGCTCTTCTTTGTGAATTCACATTAGTGCTTGTGCTCTGGGTTTGATGAACATGCAAGAAGGGGGTCCTGTTGTGCTAGGTAGGTCCTAGCCAGGGAGCTGTGCAACTCCTAGCCCTGATCAGCAGACAGGCCAAGAGAATCAATGCAAAAGAATCGCAAGCAGTGAATTAGTGTGCTGGGGAAAAATATCGTATTTACTCATTTTCAAAATTTGGGCAGAATTCTGTTAATGATGGAAGACTTGATAAAGTTGAGATAAAAACAAAGCAGATGGAGGCTGATAAAACCAGAGAAGAGGCAGAGGTAATGAACTGGGAGAGAAGAAATTGCAAGGAACAGAGGGTTAGAAAGGTCAGTGGGGACTGGACCACGCAGAAAATGGTGAAAATCTCCCACTGGCATCCCTGCTGCTGTGCCTAGTGAGGCAGCAGCTTCCCCTGCTCCGCTTGGCTTTGGTCTGCCTTGGGACCATGGGTGATGCCTTACCAGCATTATTTGTGCTCCCTGAGACCGCCTGGCTTGGATAAGAGTAGTCCTTCCCCTGTCCATGTGTCGCGAAAGGGAGTCAGTTCCTGAACGGGAAGAACTGTGGTTTCACCTAAGTTGCTTCTGCCCCAGCTGATGAAGACTCCTCTGTGAGGGTGCTGTAGTCCTGGGTTATCTGTGTTAGCTCAGGTTATCTGGAAGCTGCTCTGAAACAGCACATCCTTGTGATGAACAGAGGGTCAAAAGCAGAAGCAAATTCCAAAGGATTCCCCAACACAAATAACACCAAGGAGGGGATCCATAACTCAGTCATAACTCATTAGCAGAGCAATGGGATGAAGAACAGAGGAAGCGTCGCCGTGTGTGGTGTTTCTGTAGGGATCTTCCTGCTTGGACTCTGGTAGTCTTAGAGGAAAATGAGTGTATACTGTTGCTGAGGAAACAAGTCTCCCAGGGGAAGGTTGGCTTTTCCCCTGTGTGAGTTATTGCTGCCTCATGCTCACTCAAGTCAATTAACCTAAAACCTACAAACTGCACATGCCATGGCTCTGTGCAGTTATTATTAGGAACTTTATACAGTTGCATGTGGATTTAATCATAAACAGCCCAGGAATGAATTCAAGTTTATATTCCTCTTTAAATATTTGTATTCCTATAATGGAATATTCCCCATTTTTCTCTGTAGGTGCCAGCTTGCGTGATGACCTCAGTAAATACTTCTGGTTTCATCATTCTCAAGGGGACACAATGACAGTTCAGGATCCAAACCAGATGAATCTCTGTGCTGCTGTTTGGACTGTAGTCTCCTATGTAATTGCTGACATGGAGGAGATGTTGCCAAGGTAGTAAAACAGCAAGAAAGAAGATTTCTGTTCTTCAGTAAAGATTGTGAGTCCATTAATGAATATGGTCTACAGCTGTGGGAAATTCTGTTTTTCACCCTGGTTTTGTGCATTATTATGTCTGTTTTCCTCAAAGCACAAGCTCTTGTACACATTCCTGTTTCTTTTTGCTGTTTTGATGTCTTCCATTTGTGATTTTCACTTAAAATGTCTTCTTTTAGGTACTTTTAAATTTCTGGTGAAGGTATAACTCTTTGACTGCGATATAATTATTTATATGCAAAGTGATCTTATGCAGCAGGAAAAACATAACAAATAAATTTGTTGCATCAGAATAATTAATGTATTGATTTAGTGTACACATTTGTGGTTTTGTTTTATTTCACTCTATGCATAAGAATGATGTAGTATTAATAAAAGTGGACTTTCTTTTTACTTTCTTAAGATAATACTATAGTTTCTACAGTTTCAGGTTATAAGAAAACTTAAATCTGGCTGTTTTAATAATAATGTATGATAAAATGCTAAAATAATAGAGCTTTTAATAGCTCATTCAGCTCACGCTGTTAAATCTTACTAAAGGTTTCTTCATGTGAGACTCAGATAAACCAGGACATTGAGGATAGGAAGCCAACCTCAGGGCTCCCAGATCTCCTGTGTTTCTTTGGGGACCTCCCTGTGGAAAGCTGTGCATGTCCTTTCTGATGGAAGACTTGCCACTGTGACATGCAGAGAATCTCATATGACAGATTTTCTCTGAAATGCCATGATGTTTCAGAAATGGCATCACAGCTTTGATCTGTGACCTTCACTACCTGCCAGCTAACATCCGAACGCAATGTGAAAGCAGATTTTGATTCAGGCTCCTGAAGCTATTCCCAGATGCCCTTCTCTTGTGGGGATGCTTTCCCCTGCTAGAAGCCAGTTAGTGTGCGAACTTGATTCCTGTATACTTTGTCGGGTTTTAGTTTTTTTTCCTCCTCAAATATTATGAACATTCAGATGAGTTTCAGGGGTATCTGTAGAGAAGATATAAGTGGCATTGGGGAATATTTAAAGGTGTATGATTTCACAGAATCATAGAAACATGGAATAGTTAGGGTTGGAAAGGACCTTAAGTTCATCTAGTTCCAACCCCCCTGCAGTGGGCAGGGACAACTCACACTAAACCATATCACCCAAGGCCTCATCCAACCTGTCTTTGAACACTGCCAGGGATGGAGCATTCACAACCTCCCTGGGCAACCCATTCCAGTGCCTCACCACCCTAACAGGAAAGAATTTCCTCATATCCAATCTAAACTTCCCCTGTTTAAGTTTTAAGCCATTACCCCTTGTCCAGTCCCTAATGAAGAGTCCCTCCCCAGCATCCCTGTAGGCCCCCTTCAGATACTGGAAGGCTGCTATGAGGTCTCCACGCAGCCTTCTCTTCTCCAGGCTGAACAGCCCCAACTTTCTCAGCCTATCATCTTCATACGTCCCTGATTATTCTCGTTGTCCTCCTCTGGACTTGTTCCAACAGTTCCATGTCCTTTTTATGTTGAGGACACCAGAACTGCACACAATACTCCAAGTGAGGTCTCATGAGAGCAGAGTAGAGGGGCAGGATCACCTACTTCAACCTGCTGGTCACACTCCTTTTGATGCAGCCCAGGATACGGTTGGTTTTCTGGGCTGTGAGCACACACTGACGGCTCATGTTCATTTTCTCATCAACCAACACCCCCAAGTCCTTCTCCACAGGGCTGCTCTGAATCTCTTCTCTGCCCAGCCTGTAGCTGTGCTTGAGATTGCTCCGACCCAGGTGTAGGACCTTGCACTTGTCATGGTTAAACTTAATGAGGTTGGCATCAGCCCACCTCACAAGCGTGCCAGGGTCCCTGTGGATGGCATTCCTTCCCTCTAGCGTATCAACCGAACCACGCAACTTGGTGTCATCGGCAAACTTGCTGAGGGCGCACTCAATCCCACTGTCAAGCAAGACCGGTCCCAACACCGATCCCTGAGGGACACCACTCGTTACTCTTCTCCAGCTGGACACTGAGCCATTTTCCACAACTCTTTGCATGCGGCCATCCAGCCAGTTCTTTATCCCCTGAATGGTCTACCCATCAAGTTGATGTCTCTTCATTCCTTTGTGATGTGATCCTTGTTTGCGCTTTTAGATTCTACAGTAAGTAAACTTACTGATGTGAATAACTGGTGCACTATAATCAGCGCCAAACAACTATTGTAACAAACAACATGGAGTGTTAAACCAAATGGCAGACAGTCCCTGGTGATGTTAATCAGTTCTGTAGCTGAGCAATAGCTGAGTGCCAAGCCATTCATTTTTACAGAGTTAATGACCACGATATCTGTTTACCATGATAATAAGAGTTTTACATCATGTTTATTAAAAATTTCAGTTTTCCCACCAAATCATTTCAGGAAAAGAAAAGCTGCTTGGAGATTCTCTACACTTTCTTCTGAAACAAACAGCATTGAAATAAAGTTAGCAAAAATTTCCTCTGTTTTCAAGGCATTGTACTTATGCTTCTTTCTTCTGATTTGCTTGAAAAGAGCATTGCTGGTCGTGCTTACCACTGACAGATCCTCAGCTCTCTCTAAAGCCTTTGGACCTTCAGAGAATATTACTGCCTTTTTCCTGAACGCAGTTCTCCTGCATAGGAGAAGAATGCTGCAGTATGCATATAGTGCCACAGCACATCCTAATATGTGCTTGTAGGCTGCCAGGCTACATAAGACATGTTGCAAAAATTAAGACCATGGTGCTCCTGAAGAAAATTTAACCTTCATGTCAACTTCAGATACACAGCTCTAGAGAGAAACTTTGCAGAGTGGATTTTGAAAAAACTGTTCAAAAATCAAAGTTGCCATCTTATTTTTATAACATAGTGAAATTAAAATTATTTTAATTCTCAAATTGAAAAACAGGTATATTTTTTCACATAAAAATATTTCATTAAAATAAGACATTGTCTTTCTTATTCACCTGTTCTTTTTGTCTGATCTGTAATAGTTCTCATACCTACACGTTCAGCTGTTCACTGTGATGTCCTGATAACCTGCCTATTCAGATGTACGTCTCTCAAAAATGTCCATAAATGAAGAGATGCTAATAAGCTTCTTTCCTTTCCCAGAGGGATTATGTACCTTCTGTGCAATAGTTCATCTTTATCCCTGCTCAGTGTAGCAATTATGCTGTTTCAATTGGTGGCAATTAAGCATGTATCAGTTGCTCGATTCTCAGTTGAAAAGCACTTCTGAAGTGATCCAGGTAAGCCAACATAACTTTACTTTCTACTGGCATGCCACCTTTGAACTTTGAGAATCTTCTCAACTTCAGTTCAGAAAGTAATAGCTGAAGATATTATTTCTATTACTCTTACTGTTAAGATCAGCTGCCATAAATCTGTGCTTTTCAGAAGTATTTTGATGACATTCTATGATAAAGAGACCATGTGTACATTTCCCTCTGATAAAATAACACACTATCAGCTCTGGAGTAGATTGCTTTTTGCCTGCAAAGATCTCTGAGCTGAGATTTGAAAAAACAGCGGTAGTATTTAAATATATATCAAAAATTTAAATTTCAAATAAATACTTTCCTCAAGATATCACAAATCTCTTGCATCTGCTGAGAAGGGAGGCCCCTGGGTAGCCTTCCTTTCTGCTGCAAGTCAAAGCTTTCAGACATCGTTACAGAGGGATGAGGCCAATACATAATTCATTTACCTGACTAGACTATAGAACAAATGCTAAAGAAAAGTCTCTTTTCAGCATAAAGTAACAGGTAATTTTGCAAATAATAAAAGAATTGCAGGATAGGAAACTGAGATGGTGCTTTTGTCCTTCGTATATCAAGGCATCACTGGAATTTCACTGTCTGTTTGAATGGTTCAGTTGTATGTGGTCCAGTGAGATTTTTGCTTCCCTTAAAATAATTAAAAACAAAGAATGAGAGCTATTCCAGGAACAAGAGATGAAGTGGTTCTTCTTGCTGCTGCACTGCAAACAGCCTTGGCTGTATATTTAGTTAGTATGCTTCCCCCATAACGATTTGAGACACTTCCATTTACCATAAGTAAATATCAAACTGATCTTGATATCTGTATCTGTCTCATGAAATATACATACCATCTAAATGTGCCCAAATGATTAATTTACTGCTGTGTAATGATTAGCATAAAAATCTCATCACTGCACAGGATAGAAATGTTACCACTAATTACTGGTTGAAGTGAACAATGTTTTCTGCATAGAAATTAATGATGCATGCATCACAGCCCTTGAATGGCAAAAATCAAGACTTTCTGGAAGAGAGGCATCTTTATTCTTTTTCTTTTTCTTCTCTTTTCTGGTAAGTGATAGGAGTGCCTGATCATATATAATAGAAAGAAATATTCTGTGCACAGACCATTTTATCTTTGCACCACACTAACAGAAATGTTTTAACGCCTATTGTAAACTCCTGTCTACAGCAAATGTATGGAACCACTGTCCATAGAAACACTGGAGTATTTCATGGCCATTATTGTGATTTGTAGTTACAATTGTTTACATTGTGCTAGCACCTGATAAAGGCCTTTAGGTGCCTTTCTTTTTGGTAATCCTCTTTGTCCTTGGAAGGACCTCAACGACAACTTTATACCTAGCTGTGGGTTTAGCTTTCACTTTGAATTCACTTCTGGATACATCAGCCTCCTTTAGTCTTTCTGCATTCTGGTCTTTTTTCAGACTTTCACTCTGTCTTTCTCAGCACCTGTACTGTTATATGAACATTAGGAATGACTAACTGACTGAAAAAAGTCTGTCTATTTTGTGCCCTGGGGCTGTGGAACTGCAAGACGCAATAGAGATGACTCTGAATAGCAACATGTAATCACATGGCAAGAGCTCCACCAGGGCCACCACTTGCCATTGTCACTAGCCTGTGCCACTGGCAGGCAGAGTTTTGTGATCAATGCAGTGAGTTTTCGTCACCAGTAATAGTTTTCTATATAACTACATGAAAATCAAGCTTATGGAAACCAAAGAGGGAAGCTCTGGAGGAGGCATGAGAAAAATTAGAGCAAGGTAACACTGAGGGAGGGGCAATGTCTTCAAGTACCAATGTTTTACTCTGCTTTGCTGGGTGAGTTGGGGATCTCTACCTAAACCTACCTCTGTTTCACTGTTAAATGCTGGTGTTTGTGTTTGGTGTAGCCTGATTTAACAGCACTGTGTTAAAATACATGATGCACGTAAAATGTAAGTCCCTAACAGAGGTGAGGTTCAATTGGAGGAGAGGAAGAAGTTAATGCTGCATGAGAATTCTTCACTAAATTATGTCCTTTAGC